AAAATCTAAAAAACACCCAACCAGTCAACCAAAAATCCAAACAGAACGTGTACTGTTAACACTTTTGGATTGAAGTAATGTTAATTGAAAAAAAGTTTAAGATCCAAACAAGAAGATAGGCTGTATCAGAAGGCAAATTCAAGCATCATCAGTAATATGCTTTTTAGGCTGGTATAGTTGGCGCCTTGCTGCCTTGAAGGAGATTAATTAGTGTTGCACAATCTGCCCTAAAAAACAGGGCTTCTGAGGCCTAAATACTCTAGGTATCATCTTGAAAGCCCTTTGCTAATCACATAGAGCTGAAAAAGATGCAGAATAAAGCAGGTGCTGTAACTGATCACTGAGCAATGGGGAAGGACATAGGATGATTTAACCAAGTCCTGTGCTTACAAGTGAATTGAATGAACCCGAAGCTGAATATGCGAAATCTGGACATTATGCTTGGATGGAGCTGAGGTTTTTCTCTTATGTCTAAATTACTTTTGGCAGCTGAACGATGGCTTTTTGTTTGTTTGGTTTGGTTTCATTTAGAGGGACTGAGTGTCTGTGCACATATATTAAGTCTGATACAGGGATATAGTTGGAAGCTTTTCCTGACTGGTCTGATCAATCATGTTGTCAGCCCTAACATTCAGTGATTGATTAAAAAGCAGAACTCATCAAAAGTGGATCACTATGAAGAGATTATAATCTGACCATTTTACCGAGGTTTATAGTTTATAATGGGTTGGCTTTTTTTTCCTAGTACATGCAATCAGACATTTCTGTTGTTTTCAGATTTAAATTAAAAAAATAATAAAACTTATCCAGCATTTTCCTTTTTGGTAATTGTTCATGATTACAATACAAATCTTAAAGATGACAAGACAATTATTTAAAATATAATGTGATCAAGTGTAAATTATATATGCCACAGTTGCAGTGAGGCTTAATCAGTTTTGTTGCTAATGACACTGGCATTTGCAGTGACATCTCAAACCTCAGTAAATCTAATACTTGAGCAGCCCACTCTTCTAGCTAATGTGGAACTGATAATTTGAAGAAAATGTCTTATTAAAACTTAGCAGCAAAAATATGAAAGAAGATATGGCAGTTATGTTCCTTTCAAAGAAGATGTTCTCTTCAACAAGAATGCCCTGATTACGGTAATATAATGTGTCAGTATCTATGGAAATGTTCATTTCAAAAGCTTCTATTGGCATCAGTGAAAAAATTCTTAATGAAAACAGATGGTGGTTGAGTTGGTGACCTCTTCTTTAGCTCATTTGTTTTCTTTCAGGGGAACAAAGTTCCTTATCCACTAATGGTAGAAGTAATGGCTACAGTAAAGTAAAGGTTAAGGTCTTTGTAAATGACATAACCAGAAACATTGATAATTTTTATTTCACTTTCTGATTAATTTCTTTTAGTGAGATCCACATACCAGTGAAAATAATGAGAATATTGCCACTGATTTCAAAAAGCTATGTATAGGGAACATTTTGCATTAGGTAAGAGTTTGTCATATAGTCAGTTTTATTCTTTCCTCGGGGAACTCAATTTATTAGTCATTTTCTTCTACTAGTGTGGGTCTTACAGCCAGTGACAGGAACAATGGCAAATATATAGTTATAAAACCATAAAAGTTGGCAGAGGCGTGCAGATGCAATTAAATTATTCCAGCGCTTTAAAATAAAATCTGATCCAACATCAGATTGTCAGTGTAGGTAATCAGTTTCCTGTTTTTGAAAATTCACTGCAGTCTTAATCCAAAGGTCTGATCCAAATAAGTAAATGGAAAAATACCCACTGATTTCAGTGAGTGTTGTATCAAGTCCTCATTATTTTATATAAAGTTCTAGGAGTAGTCATCTCCAAAGGAGATTTTGAGAATGAAAATCCAACTCACCTCAGAATATCAGGAATTTGTTTTGTCTAATTTATGAAACTTCATGCCATTGGAGAAGGTGGCATCTTTCTTCTGAAGGATAGATGTAGATTTTTAAATCAGATATTTCTTTCCAGTGGTTCCAGTGCCTATCAAGTTATATATGTTATGATGTTAGCTGAATTTCTCGCACAGAGGAGTGAACTGGTATGACTGACAGCAGAATTCAGTCCTAGGAAGAACTGAAGGTGTTGTCTGCTTCACTGAAAGACTCAAAGCAAAATGCTAAGTTATTATTCTCTTGAATCCTTTTCAGCATTTATGACTGCTACTCTAAGAAATATTTTTCATTTCATAAGGCTAGTGTGATGCCAGAAACTAGAGAATGTCAAATGATAAACCCATAGAAATAAGATTTTGGCTGTACTGTTGTATGAATAGGATGTTTGAGCAGAACAGGAATAATTGATGAATGCTGGAAATTGCTGTGAGAGATGGTATTTTGTAACCACAGTGAGGATTAGCACACATTTCTTGTAAGAATGAAAACTCATAAAAGTTGCATCTCAGTACTGAAATAGGATACCCTTTACAAGCTAGACATGTGCTTATATATATGTGTATGCATATACACTTGTACATATAAATGCATATATATGAGAAAGCAGGGTAGAAATAAAGAACATATGAACAAGAATGAGAGGTCTTTCACTCAGTAGGTGTAGTTTTGCTGTTATTCTGTAGTCAGACTAAGATAATTTTTTTTTCTGGAGTAAATAAGAGCTTTACTGAAAATTGGAATAGATAAAAATGTGATAAAAATGTGATGTGATACATTGCATTATATCTGTGTGGTCTATCATATATATGTAGTATATTGTAACATACAGATGGCATACATATGATAGGTATATATAGTGTTAAAGTCATGATTCATGACAATAATATCTTGGAAGCCATCTGTTCTTCTCTGTGAGACAGCGATCTGACATGCTTTGCTTCCTGGAAAACAGTCACATTTATACAATATTGCATAAAATCAGCTGCAGGAGGGTTTTATTGCATTACCCGTAACAAAGCTGACAAGCACTGAAGCACCTGTCTGAAGCAGACTAACACTGTTAATGGAGAAAAAGAAAAGCAAAGTGTGCATTTAACTCCCTGTTGTAAGTTACGCAGAGATGGACTATGGACTGTCTCAGCAGATTCACAGGAGAGGCTGGGTGCCAGGGCTGCACAGCCTGATACACTCTTGTTTGAGCAGGAGCAACTGGTCTTCAGGACACAGAAGCAGTTCTCTGGTGTGTCCCAGCTATGGGCAGTTGCTGGGTGTGGATATCATGGCTCTGCCTCTTCCCATACCTCCCTCCCCCATGTGTAATCGTTCTCTGTCAGGACAATAGTACGTATCATTCCACTGCTTTACTGGAGCAACCAATACATGAAGTGAAAAACACTGTAAAAAGTATGCCTTCACGTAAGATATTTCCATCTGAATATTTCTTTGTGTATTGCTCTTAACTGCTCCATTTCGTAGAGACCAATACAAACAACTTCTTAATTTATAGTATGTTAAACCCAAGATACATGGTGAAAGTAGAATTCACTTAATTGAATTTAATTGAAATATGTTCCTCTGAATTATTCTGAAGGATGGGAAGGATGGAACATAAGTAAGGGTTACTGTAAGAAATAACATACTAGAAAAAAGTTTGGCAAGCAAAATGAAACTTAGTATACCAAATTTCATTTGCTAGTAAAATTTTTTTCTACAAATACTCTTTTTAGAGAAACACTTATGCAAAGCCTAACGAGGAATGAAAATGCACCATAATATGCTACCTGAAAAGGCTCATAAAAAAATCTGAGCTATTATGAAACAGTAGCACGTTGCTTAAGAGCACATAATGCCTAAACCATAAGAGCTTTAATGTATTCATGAAGTGAAATGGTGAGTCTTGTTGCTACTAGGATATGCTATGTTTGTGTACTTTATGCAAAGTCAGAGAAGTGTATTAAAGCAATTGTTCTGTGCATGTTAAAAAATACCTGACGTCAATAAAGTTGTTTCAAAAAAGTATATTTTATGTCTAATACAGTGGGGTTTCTTTTTTGGCTATTTTTTCAAGCTGGAGATCCAGCTCTATGCTGGATATGTTTACTCTCTTTTTATACTATTTTTGCGGTAATTCACCCTGAAGTCTCCCAGGTACCCTTGACAGTTTGATTATTTGTCACGTATCTATTGAAAATACTACTTGCCTTCTTTGTTAACCGAATATTTGATTTTGCTTGTATAATCAAATGCTTTTAAAATTAGTGATTTTCCCTGTTAAAGTCCATATACATTTGAATATAAAATGATAGCCTTTTAGGGTCACCCCTACTTCTTTTTAGGTAGATTTAAAGAGTTCTTTGCAAAAGGCACTAAATCTATTACTTTATGAGACAGCTTGTATGCAAGAGACATTTCCTAAGAAACTTTCTAGGTTTCTAGAAGTTTCCATAAAGTAAGCCTGATTTCAACCCTGTTAAATTATGAAGTTATATACCACAATGTTTTGTTTAGAAGAGCCAAGAGGTGGAAAAATTGCTTGAGGAAAGGTAAAAAGAGTTATGATTGATTTCTGCCTGGCTCTCAGATTCTCACTTCCTGAATCAGTGTAGCAGGAACATAGAAAGATGACACATATTGACTCTGGGGAGGGAGATGCAATGATTTGCCTTACTATTTTCCATGCCAGGCATGTAATAGAGCAATATTGTGCCAAGCAGTGAAAGAAGAAATTTCTAGCTTATCTGTCCTTCAGCTTGAAGAACTGTCATACATATTTTTGAAAGAGAGGTATATATTTTGAAATTAGGACCTTACAGCAAATAAGAACAAAAGGTACCTAGATCTTCTGATAGAGTCGAAGCAGGACAAAATACCAGGAAATACAAATGGTACTCAGTTTACATATAAATGCCCTTACAAGGAAGTGCCCTGTGGATCACCAGCTCCAGAAAAATTATTCTGATTGTGATGTTGTGTACTTTTTTCTCCTACAAGGTAGAGCAAAGTTGCTTAATGTTTTTTCAGTCATTCTCAAATATCTGTACATGTTGCCTTTGTTGTCTGATTGATTCATAGATCTATTTGCGATTCTTGGACTACGAGATGCAGAATTCCAATGAATGCAAAAGGAATTTTGTAGCTGTCTATGATGGAAGCAGCTCCGTGGAGGATTTGAAAGCAAAGTTTTGCAGCACTGTTGCTAATGATGTAATGCTGCGGACAGGTCTTGGTGTAATCCGCATGTGGGCAGATGAAGGCAGTCGAAACAGCCGATTCCAGATGCTCTTCACATCTTTCCAAGAACGTAAGACCCTAATCAATGCATCTGCCTTTCAGTTTGTTAAATGGTACAAGTCCCAAAATCTGTTGATATTTTCTTCATGCAGAGTAGTCACTGAAGAATGTTGCCAAACAAGCCTGTGTAAATATTCAGAACAGTTTTTATTACATGCATTTGTAGTGAGCAATAATTTGTAATGCAGTAGCATTTGGGGCATTTGGAGCTAATTCAAAGACAGCAAAACAGGTAGAAACAGTCACGACCTGTAAAGTCATATGACCATGACTTTTGTCTGATCCCCAAGTTACCAGGGTGCTATGCCTCAGTTTTTCCTTACACAACATGGAAAATAATACAGCTCTGAAGGTTTTTATCAAGTCTGATCCTTTTTTATGAATTTGATTTTTTAGATCCCATTCTAATATGCATTTAAAAAATACTCTATGATTATTTTATCACAGTTCGTGGGTGTGTGCACATATCAATAAATATATGTCAGAGATTGTTAGGCAAAGAATTTACATTTTTGTAGCAACAAAAGCTTTCTAAAAACCTTACATATTTCAGTTAATATTCTCTCTATGTGCCTTACTTGCATATAAATGTTTATATGCATTCTGGACTCAGATAATAAGTAAAATAGGCTTTGAAATAAAAAAAAGGTAGTTCTAGCCAGGGTAAGAAAACAAACACACAGTCAAACCAACAGCAAAAAACCTCAACAAAACCCAGTAATTCCATTCACTGAAAATGATTAACCCAGCTAATCCTGTGAAAGACCTGTGAAAGATATCAATTTGTTTTCTTTGGTGGAAATAGTACATATTTGATCTCTTGAGAAAGATGTATATGCATTTATTTTCATATGCTGGTTCATGTTAATTTTTAATGTGTTTTTTGGTTTGTGCATCACATATCTGACAGAAAGATTTCTGTGCAGCCGTCATTGGTTATAATGAAGGCTCAATCCTACCAAACACATTCTTCATCTGCATTCTGTGTGTGTGTACCCTTCAATGAGGCAATGAGACTCTGTTTAGAACAGCCTCCCTAATTCTTTAATTATGGCTCTGATTAAAAATTTCTGACAGTTTACATGCCTGAAACTGCATGAGCCACTGTACTCTCACACTTGCAGCCTTATGGATTATATTTTTCTTGCCTGCAAATCAGGTCAGGGTCCAAAAGGTATTGAGAACCCTCAGTTGAGATGATACTGTCCTTTCTCATTTCTGCAACTGGAGATATCTTGAATATTCAAGATCTGATTCATTTTTTCACAAGGCATCTTGATCTGTTACCTTAGAAACAACTGCATAGACACTGGAGGTTCACAGCATATAAAGAACTGGAGAGTGAAACACTGTGATGACTAACTTGAAATGAAGGTTTGAATAAGTGTGTGTTTGCAAATCTCTCCTATTTTAAAGAAAATAAGGAAAAATGAGTGATTTTTTTTCTCTTACAGTATTCCTAATATATTTATCTGACATGCTACATCTTATGAGCTACTCCATTCTTGTAAGAAGATGACAATTTATACTGCAGGGTATTCTGACTGGTAAATTCGAAATACTGATGTGTTTTCTGTAAATTCACTCTGAACAGTCATTGCTCACTAGAAGCTGAAAAATTATTAAAGGCTAAATTGTTCTTTGAAATACGTCTTCACAGCCTGCTCATAAATTATAGAAGAAACTGCATCTGTGATTGTAATACTGGAAACTGACTTTAAAGATTTAAAGGTTATGCAGATGGTACTTTCTGTGTCATGTCAGTTGTCTGTAAGTCCTGCCCTATGCTGCATGCTGGTGCTGGCTGTCAGAAGTCAACTAGAACAGATGTCAATGAGACACACTCTGAGACACATCTCATAGCATGTAAACTGCAACATCTTTCAGCAGCATGTGGGAATAATTAGATCATCGGCATGGAAGAGAAGGAGTGTCAGACCTCATTCAGGGAGATGTGCATCAGGGAACAGACACCTGTGTCTCTATTTGGGGACAAAGATGAAAAATTGTATATTGTTAATCTAGAGCTGAGAAAGGAAAAAAATAGAAGATTACATTTATGTTGCGGTTATGTGCAGGGCAAAGAGTGCAAAAGTAGAATTCCAGTACTGTTCTTGTCAGAATGACCAGGAGATGTTGTGATCTGTTGCTCCCCAAGTTCCTCTCCTTAGGGTGGAACTAAGCTGTTGAGACTGTGACTCTTCCCTTACACAAGGCTCTGTGAACTCAAAGTGCTATTTTTTGAAAACAGGCTACTGAACCTGAGCAACATTTTCTTTCAGTATAAGTCTGTTCAGTGTTAATTCTTGTTATAGAGCCATTTCCTGGGGATGTAACATTTGTGTAGAATAGAGAAGTCTTAAAGAGATTTCTTATATGATTATTTTCATGTTTTGATCATGTGCTCCAAATATGTATGCATTTTTTACTGGCATCTGAAAAGTGGTCTTACAAGTTTCCAAACCACCAGCAATGATACTTTCAGATCAGCAGTGCTATAAATATGTCTGAAAGAAAGGCATATATAATGCATGAGGTTTCCTATGCCAGAAAATCAGGAATGATTTTCACGTCATCAAGATAGTAGTAGAGCTCTAAGTAACACTTAATAACCAATTAATTTTTAATAGGTGATAATTTATAGAGATGATCTGATATTTCATTATCAGCGTTATTAGTTATTCCAACTGTCATTATGGGATTTTTTTCTGCTTATGTCCTTACCTTTTTAATATTTAAAATATCTTCTAAGTATAATCATATTTTTATGTATGGTAGTCACTATCTACACTAGATTTTAAATATCCAATAAATTAATATAAGAATGAGAAAAAAAAGAAAACAAGAAAGCTGGTGTCACCAAAAGGTGTCTGTTCATCTGGTAAGGAGACTTGAAAAATGAGTCTTTGTTTTTTTACCCACTGACTAACTGTTCATTTCATTTTCCATGATTGGAGAGTGATCTCCAGCCTGATTAATGACAGACGTGCTACACCTACAGCTTCTTCAAAGAGCTGTTCCTCAGCAGACACACCTACACTTTAGCCTAAAAGAAGGTTTGTAGAACCAGAGCATACGGGATAAGAGAAAAACCCTCTGTATGAACAGCAGGCAAGACGTTTGCTCTCTCACCTCTGACTGCTCTTTGGTAGCACTGCTTCCTCCTCTGCCCATAATCCTGCACCAGAAACCCCAGTCCAGAAGAACATCATTCCTTCTCTTATTTTATTCTCCCTTTAAGCTCTAAGCCTGTTTTTAAAGCCCTGTCATGTGTGACTTTTCTAATGGAGCACAAGTTCTATCATTCCTATTTTATTTTTAATAACAAAACCCGTATTGGATAGAAATCTAAGGTCATTGTCAGGGGAGTAGTGAGCAGCTTTATCAAATAAGAGCACCCAAGTCCTTGTTTACAGACTTGAAGGTGATCACCCAGCGCGGGTGATGGGGAAAAGGGACTTCAGGTATGCAGTGTTAAGGACTGTGTTTATTGTGGTAAAGCTAAGGGAACTACTGAAAAAGAGAACAACAAGGTGATAAGCTAGGTGGGCATTGATCTCCTCTCAAGCAACCAGCAGCAGGACAAGAGGGCACAGTCTTAAGCTGTACCAGGGGAGGTTTAGGTTGGATGGTAGGAAGAAATTCTTTACAGAGAGAGTAATCAGACACTGGAATGGGCTGCCCAAGGAGGTGTTGGATTCACCATCCCTGAAGGTTTTTAAGATGAGACTGGATGTGGCACTCAGTGCCATGGTCTAGTAACCATGGCGATGTTGGATCAAGGGTTGGACTTGATGATCTTGGAGGTCTTTTCCAACTCGATTGATTCTATGATTCTATGAAGTGCAACACGTGAACAGGCAGTTTCCCTTTGCAAAGACTTAGGAATATAAACAGATTGCAGCTTTGCTGATTTTGGTCTCTGCTTCTGCACTAATACATTAAAAAAAAAACCACTGGGATTGCCTCCTTCCTGATGAGCACTCATCTGTGATTTTCTTCCCTTCTGTGCTGTTTGCAGTTATCTCTGGTAAAAAACCCTCCCTGGCTAAGCATCCCAGTGACTCTCTGACCCTGAACAAAAAAATGTTTGTGGTGCCTAGAGTGTATAAACTGAACACAGACTGGACCTCTGAGCACATACTCCTGAGCTGCCATTCTCTGGTGAGCTTTTATAGGAAAAAAATAAAACCAACCAAAACCCAACCAACCAACCAAAACAAAAAAACCCCCAGAAAAACCAAAACTAAAAACCAAATAAAACCAAACAAAACCAAAACAAAAAACCCCCACAACAAATGAAACAACGAAAAAACCGTAACCAAAACCAAACCAAACCCAAAACCCACAACCCCACTCCCAAACAAACAAGAACGCGTGAAACCACATGTAGATTTTTTTTAAAGACAAGATTATCAATGTGTATCTGGTATCAACTATCCATAAAAGTTACATTTATCTTGAACAGACCTGTCTGAAGATGACTGAGAAATAACATTTAGTATTAAGCACATTTCATTGTCAAGTTTCTGTGTTTTAATAACTTTTTTTTATTTCATTGATGGCAAATGAAAAGACAATAATTTTACTTTAGATGATATACTTGTAGTGTACAGTACTAAAACCAGCTTAATATTTTTATAATTTTAATAAGTCAACTGAAACAGTCACTCAGTATGACTGATGAATTTTTCCTTGAAAAGGCTGCTAGAAAACTTCTTCCTCTTTTTCAAGGATGAGTCAAGGAACATTTGAAGAATTTAATTTTTCTTCCTCTTGTGGAGGAAAGAAAGCCCTATATTTCAGGACTGAACAATAGAAAAATCCAAATGATCTGTACTTAAAGAATTCACATGCAGAGCATGATGCAATGAGCTGTCTTGAGTAGATGAGGAGTAGGTGTGAAATGTCTAACGACTTCAGTGTAAAATGTTTTTTACATCTAACCATTGTTAAAATTTCAGATTTTTCCCATTTACCCTTAGGAAGAAGTAAGACCTCTCAAAAATG